CCCCCCCCCCCAAGAATCATTCACTTTCCTTTTCTTTATGTCAACCGGCCCATACAATCATCAGCTTCTTGTTCTCGCCTGATAAGAGAAGCCGTCAAATTGTTACTGTTTTTTCATTAAACAAGATTTACTAACAATGCACATGACAAGAAAAAGTGAAATGAAGTTTCCCTCGTGCTAAATTTTTTCCTTTTATGTGGCAGCCTTGTGTTTTCCAAAATAATAACATGTAATTTGCTGTAAGGTATCTTTAGAACTCCTGAGATTATTTTTCCAAAAAAATATCTAGCCAAGTTGAAAAAACTGAAGCTTATTTTAGATTTCACATTATTATATCATGTTGCCTTGACTGTATTTTCAATTGAGCGTCTGGGGGCTAATTTGAAACCATTTTTACAATTTTGAGTGTATAATCTAATGCTGGTTGGCACTGCAAGTCAGCTGTTCATTTTTTTGGTATACTTTCTATTTGAGGGGTAAGGTTCTGAAGAACAGAGCTTTGTGATATAACTATGTTCTAAATCCATGAGATATTGTGTAGCAAATAGGTAATTTACCATCTTCCCTTTAATATATCATGAGTAGATTTTCAAGTCACTACAACATTTCTAATATTGTGAGGATAATTACTTTGTCATCTATGAAAACCCACGTGCTCTCTGGTAGCTGACAGCAATTTGCATTCAGATGCGGTGTCTTTTTTGCTTATGCAGTTGTTTCAGGTGTCATCATTTAAATGACTTGAAACTGTTCCTTTTGCAGATTCCTCACTTGAGGCCTACTGAATACAAGAGGTCAAGATTGTCGAGAAACAGGAGGACTGTGAACCGTGCTTATGGTGGTGTGTTGTCAGGCAGTGCTGTACGTGAAAGGTATATTTTCGGTGCACTAGAGTTTTTCTCGAACGAAATTAGAATTCTTCCATCTCACTGGATGTTGTCTTGTATAGGATCATAAGAGCCTTTTTGGTGGAAGAACAAAAGATTGTGAAGAAGGTTTTGAAGATCCAGAAAGCCAAGGAAAAGCTAGCTGCCAAGAGCTAAGCTTTTAATGCTTGGCGACGTCACAAGAGGAATGTATTTTGAATTTTGGGTTTAAGATTTGTATTTTGCTGGTTTTGGTTAAAATGTGATATTGAATATTTTTCTTCAGTTTGTCGAAATATCGCTTCTGCTAGGTCTCTGTTTCTGCCTTACTCTGGGTATTCAAACTTCCTATGGATATTTGATGATATTTCAAGTCAGTATTAGTTCAGTTTTGCATTTTAATTGTTATACAAGATTGCAGGTTAGTTGAGTTTGTTTCGTTGCTGCAATTTTCAATCAGTATGAATGAATGCTTTGCGTTTATTAGTAAGTTAGTTTTCATGATTGATATTATTAGTATTTCAAATGCTTCTGTTAGTCTCGGGTATTAGTTTCGTTGTTATGCGGTGCTCTTTTTGTTCTTTTTAAGGAGTAATTACATGGTAAAAGCTGCATGCTGTATGTCATAGCTAAACTCATAATATGAATAATCATTTCAATCTATGTATCATATTTATTTTAAGATTCTGCTTACACTGTCTGGATTGCTTATTTCTTGTATATAATTGTATGTATCGTTTTGCATTGCATTGTTTTGTGGACGCAATATTTGGTTATATCATATTGTTTGTTGTGTGATAATATGTTTTCTCGTTTGGTTCGACTGTATTGCATCGTTTCACACACTGACGTATTAACTGAAATGCGCTTAATATTTGTTAAATTATTGTAGATATTAGATTTATGAGTTTATGAATGATTACTCATAAGAATAATTTATTACAATTTTCTTCCTAATTTATTACCAATTGTGCCTTGAATGTATATTCAAAACTAAAAGAATCATTGGCAAGACAGTGGTGAGAAGTACCTGTTTAATTCAAGGAGGATGCAAGCAGGAGTAAAAAGGGGTTAAAATTTGAGGAAGATAATGCAGGGTGGAGTTGAAGGAAAATAAGGTAAAGAGTGTAATAGCCCGTTTGCCAAGCTGCAAAAATGAGCTTATTTTGAAAAGTGTTTTTTTTCAAAAGTGCTTTTCTCAAAAGTATTTTTGGTGATAATCAGTTTGTATTTGATTAATTAGTTTGAAAAGCACTTCTGAGCAACAATTAGTGTTTGGCCAAGCTTAAGTATATTTTTCTCAAAAGTGCTTCTCAAAAAAGTATTTTTGGAGATAAACTACTTTTTTCTGTTTCTCCAAGACTGCTTGCTGCAATCAAAAGGTGGCCTTATTTCAATTTGACGTGAAGAATAGAATGCCTTTCAACAACATAAGGGAAGGGGGCAAGAATAAGTTTCGATTCAGCCTCCTCCAACTCCAGGCTTCTCTTCTCCTAGGAATCCTAACTTGGTATGCAAGCTCAAGAAAAGCGATTTATGTTACGGCATCCGGCAAGCTAAAGCAGGCACCAAGAGCTTGGTTTGAAAGGTGACAACATGTATAAGAGCTGAAATAGGAGTAGAGGAAGGAGCCGGTTTTCAAATAAGTAAATCGGATCATTCAATGTTTATAAGGAGGTCGACATCAGGTATTGTCCTTCTTCTGCTTTATGTGGATGACATTGCTTTCTCTAGTAATGACTTAGCTTCGATAAATGAGCTTAAGAGAAGATTAAGAACCGATAATCATTTTTATGGTTATGCCGGCGATGATAGGTGGATCCGGTAATTGGTCTGTTCCGATTCTGATAGGTGCGCCTGACATGGCATTTCCACGATTAAATAATATTTCATTATGGTTGTTGCCTCCAAGTCTCTTGCTCCTATTAAGCTCAGCCTTAGTAGAAGTGGGTAGCGGCACTGGGTGGACGGTCTATCCGCCCTTAAGTGGTATTACCAGCCATTTTGGAGGAGCATTTGATTTAGCAATTTCTAGTCTTCATCTATCTGGTGTTTCATCCATTTTAAGTTCTATTAATTTTATAACTATCTTCAACATGCGTGGACCTGGAATGACTATGCATAGATCACCTCTATTTGTGTGGTCCGTTCTAGTGACAACATTCCCACTTTTATTATCACTTCCGGTACTGGCAGGGGCAATTACCATGTTATTAACCGATCGAAACTTTAATACAACATTTTCTGATTCCGCTGGAGGGGGAGACCCCATATTATACCAGCATCTCTTTTGGTTCTTCGGTCATCCAGAGGTGCATATTCCCATTCTGCCTGGATCCGGTATCATAAGTCATATCGTTTCTACTTTTTTGGGAAAACCGGTTTTCGGGTATCTAGGCATGGTTTATGCCATGATCAATATAGGTGTTCTTGGATTTCTTGTTTGGGCTCATCATATGTTTACTGTGGGCTTAGCGTTGATACCCGTGCCTACTTCACCGCAGCTACCATGATCATAGCTGTCCCTGCTTTTCCTCAAAATCATTTTTTTTCCTTCAAAAAACTTGGCCAAACACTTTAATACTTTTGGCCAAAAAGAAGCTTGGCCAAACAGGCTAAATCTCACATGTCAAAATCAGTTGTTACATAAAATGGGTATTTTCATTTGTTACATAAGAATGAATTTGACAATATATATAATAATTTTAAAGTAACAATCAAAATAAACAGTGCATTTAAATCAACAATACAATGAGTAACAATGATCTAGACAAGCTGTTAAGAGTATCTTGCCTATAGAACATACCCTTTTAGTTTATCAAATTATACTTTAAAATCAAGCATCCTGGTTTAAGTTAAACTTCTGCGTTATCTTAGCAACAAGATCATGGTGTGGTGGAAGATGCTGTTTCATTATAGGTAAGTTTTTCAGAGCAGTAACAAGTGCAAAAAGGCATGGGTATTTCTCCAGGCTAAGATCTTTTTCTCCTCCTCCAATAGCTTCAGTGAATGCTTCAACATTACAAGCACTTGAACCTATTACTATATCAAGAATCCCTGGATTCTTGCCATTCAGAAATGGTGATCTTTTTGGAAAATCCCTTTCAATTCCCTCTTCAAGCACCTTTAGCACCTCATTTGATTCTTCTATTGCCTTGTCTTTTTCACTTCCTTTTGACATTAGAACAGCCTTTGAGCTTGGTCCAATCTATGTTGCAAATATAGGGAAAAGGTTAAGACTATCATCAATTTAATTAAGGTGCACGCTCGATATAGGTAAGGAACATATATATATATATATATATATATATATATATATATATAAGTGTGTTTGGTGCGACGTAAGTCATTTGTTATGAAAAATATCTTTTGGTGAATCGTTAGAGAGTGAAAACTATTTTTCAGAAAAAATATATATGGGAGATCAATAATAATAGTAACAAATAAGATAGTGCTTCGATGAATTTTTTGAGTATTAAAGATTAATAAAGTGTAAGTTGGAGAATATAGTTAAAAGTCAAGACACTTGTATGAGAAAAGACCTCAGCTCATAAGTGAGGAAGTATTCCCCTTTTAATGGAAAATAGAGGGGCACATGCATTGAAAGATGGCTTTCAAAATAGGCTTTTGGTACTAGCTTGAGGGAGGAGGATCCTAGTAGAAACTAGAATTAGGGGCGGATTGAAGCGAATAAATTAGTTCATATCACGACGACCTATATAGAAAGGCAATTTTAGGGTTTGAAACAAATAAATTAAAACTATTTTCTCACAAAGAGGATTAAAAGAATAAAATTATGGAGCCTAGATATAGGAAAGAAATAGAATTACAAGTTCATTTCGTCTTGACTTTCTTATGAAAAATATTTTCCTGCAAAATAATTTTCTTCTTATCAAACACATCCGTAGTTTAGTAGGTATTTTACCTTTTGATCATAATAGTTTATCCAAAACCGAACTTAGGCTCTCTCATAAAGCTCCTCTGGCCACAACTTGGGCGAATTTTTCCAGCAATCTTCGATATATTCAAGTATGACAATTGATTCAACAATAGGTTTCCCATTATGGACAAGAACAGGCACTTTCTTATGTATTGGATTGTAGTTGAGGAGTTCTTGACTTTTGTTTGTTAGATCTTGCTCTATGTATTCATATTCGATGCCTTTGATTTCAAGGGCAAGTCTAACTCTGTTACTGTAGGAGCTGAACCAGGAGCCAAGTAAAACTACTTCACTTTCTTTCTCCATAACCTTTAATTTGAAAGTGTTTTTTTCTTTTTCTTTTCTATGGTATGATATGAGGTGTTATGTTCATGTTTATGTAGAGTTTTCATATGGTATTTTGGTGAATTAAGGAAAAGAAAATACTAAAGTTGGAAGGGACGGAGTTCAAACTTTTGATCATAAAGTATCATATTTGCTTTAGAAATATTGGAAACCTTAGTACTAAACAAACATAAATGTCAATGTCACTGTCAATCGTCAATGATGACTTTGTCAAAGTAAGGCCGCTAGCAAAAGTCGTCCGATATATATATATATATATATATATATATATATATATATATATATATATATATATATATATATATATATATATATATATATATATATATATACACACACACTTTTGCAGGTTAAATGTTAAAATAATTTTACGGTAATTTTAGTTCAATGTATATACATAATTAGGCCCCATTTTAGGAGTGAGATTCAATCGAAACACATATACCAAACAAATAAATACATAACACATGTTATCTTTGTTTTGCATAAACTTTTTTTTACCCATAGTTAAGTAAGAAATATTTTTTTAGGAAAACCAGAAATTAAAATAGAATTATTTTAAATTCGTAGGTCAACACATACGAAATCAATTGTAAACCATACTCCATAAAAATTAATTTAAAAATTATTTAAACAACCGGGTCACTTAACTATGTATAGTATGGTATGATAACTTGAAATATGGTGAATAAATTATTACAACATACTAAAATATAATAATAATGTAGAAATCATTTACACTATTACAACAACAACAACGACCCAGTATAATCCCACAAGTGGGGTCTGGGGAGGGTAATATGTATGCAGACCTTACCCCTACCCCGAAGGGTAGAGAAATCATTTACACTATTAATATATAAAATTACGATATTACTTCTAAAATAGTATACTTATCAAAGCCGGTAAAAAGTGATACAACTTATTATCAGATCCAGCTCCAATTGTTTGGACTCCTCCTGTCTACTGCCTCTCTATCAGCCCAACATAATCTTTGATGGGCTTGGGCCTCAATGGTAAATAATAGGGGTGACAAACGGGTGTATCGGGTTGGATATAGGCGGGTTAAAAATAGGTAATGCAAAAATGGATAAATTATCTGACCAATCTATATTTAATATGGATAAAAAAGGTGGTTAATCTGCAGATAATATGGATATCCATATTATGCATGACTTCTTGAATATGATAACTTTTGGGAGAATTCCTAGTCTCCTAAACTTGATNAATTTTAGGCTTACAAATGTAAAAGTTAAACCCATTAGTTATCTATTGGTTATCCATTTTCTAAGTGGATAATATGGTTCTTATCCATATTTGACGCGTTTTTAAAAAATTCATTATCCAACTCATTTTTTATGGATAATATGGGTGTGTAACTATTTTCTTTTAACTATTTTGCCACCACTAATAGTAACGTACTAACTCCCACTACAAGCATATGTGCATCCTCATGGTTCACAAATATAGCTGTCAATATAGGTTTGGCCTGCCGGTCCTGCCTAGCCTAGCCCGTGATTTAATGGGATCGAGTTAAATTTTTTTAATCCCATTTAAGAATGAGATTTTTTAGTCCGACCCAAGTAAATTGGTGACCCGTGAGATTTGACCGAAGCTGTGCTGGGATGACCCGTAGGCCTATAAAAAAATATAAAATGTAAAAGGAAACGATGAACTAATAATAACAAAGAGTAGCTCAAACTGAAAGTCTATTCAGCCCATCAGATTAAAAGATCAAAGTTAGTATTTTAAATTTTAAACATAAATTTAAGTTAAATTAAATTATGAAATAAATAAATAATAAAACCTAAATTTCCTAAACGTTAAAAAGAAGTAGCGCTTTCCTCTTTTTAGATGTGCTTGATAAAGATGGTGTGCCAGTGTTGGATATGCTTAAGTGGCATAATTTGTTTTAGTAGTTAGTTTAAGTTGACACTAAAATGAAATATTGTCCTTCCTTCTTTATGTTTTATTGTAATCTATTAGAAAATGTCAAAAGTTATTAAGTGTTACATAAGCTTTCTGCCTAACAAGATATTTTTTGAATAAATAATTTTTTATAAATATTTTTAGGTTTAAATTTTAAAACATAATAGATTTTTTTAAAAAAATAGTGGCTAGCCTGAGGGGGTCTGTGGCCCACGTAAGGTTGGATTGGGCTGGATATTTTAAGGCCTATCAAAATGGCACACCGGTCCAACCCAACCCGTCAAATACCAAGCCCCGCATGAGCTGGGCTAGACCAGCACATATTGACAAGTCTATTCACATATATTAAAGGAGATATCTTTTTTATTATTTTTGATCAATTTTTTGGCATGAGGTCAGAATGGCATTTAAGCTCAAGGGGTTGGTAAACAAGTCAATCTCCAGGGGTAAATCCATAGATCTTGACATCAAATCTCACTTCAGCCAACCGATTGCAAGTTTAATATTCTCTATCGAGGAGAAAAATAAGTGATCAGGATTCACGAATATAGAGTTGTGTGCCTAAAGGTTAAGGGCTAGCTCTATTCCGTGTCTTTCACCATTAAGGTGGAGAGTTAAAACCTCATCAGTAGCGTAGCAATATCCTTCCCCTTTCCTCCGTCTCCTCCCCTGATGTAATAAAAATAATTAAAAAAGAGACCTACCTCCCCCTTTCTTGCTATAAGAAATAAAGAGAGATTTGCACAAACGTACATCTCAACATACTAAATTGTATCTATGTACCCATGCTTTTAAGTTTATAGCCGCATTGCTCATTATTTTTTTGCAACATTATTTATAGCCTCGATATACAATATTATTAACTTATTATAATATTGTAATATTGCATAATGTTGAGTACAAGGTTGGATTTCGTCTCCTATGAACTTCAACTCACGAAAAACATCATTAAATAATTTAATTCTTCACCGAATAACTTCAAATTTTAACCACAATCTCAAAATGACATCTCCAACGAACTTCAATTATCAATATTTGTCAAAAATCTTAAATCACAAAACTCATTTTTAAGTTTTCAAGCTTTTAAAGATCTCAACAATAGAATTTTTAAATCACAAAACTCATTTTTAAATTTAATTCACTCAACTATGTTTAAGCCTGTAATGATAAACGTAAAATATCTCTCAAATTGGTTTCTAAGACATATCTTCTTTATACCCTATTAATAGGTGAAATAAAGTTTTAACTTATATAAAAAATTAGCTAAATTACGTAAGAAAAAAAAAATAGAGGCTAAAATTGGTTGGGGAAGTACCCCTTGTACTTCCCCTTAATAATTTTTGAAATGAGATAAAGACCTCTCCAAAATATACATGATGTCCCAGCATAGATATTACATTATCCTTTTAGGTATATAAATGAAGATCCATTTAAAGTTCACTAACAGGTGTTAGTGTGCAGTTCACTAATAAAGTTTACTTAGTGTTAGTATGTGCGATCAGAGGCGGATGTAATGCCGCGGCACCAACTTTAGACGCGAAATATAAATTTACGTATAAAAATTCACAATTTTTTTAATAAGTAGTATGAACACATAATTATAGAAATACACAATAAATTCAACACTAAGAGCTTATATTCTATATCTGCCTTTTGTGTGTGATCCCAATATAATGTTACCACAGAAGACAAGGGAAGGAAAACAAATGAGAATATTATACGAGCAAAAGGAAAGGCATTGGAAAGCACAATGAAACAATATTGGCTGGTATGTAACATGAAATTATTCTTCCATATCTTGGCCAAAATCTTTCGGAAACGATTTGATTAGTCATGAATCAATTGAAAAACCTACATTAGAGTTTTTACAACACTAATCCAAAACTAAAACTAAGCCCAAAAGTACCCCATAAATAAAACTAAACAAAATCCAAAAGAAAGAAAACAAAAGCTAAGTTCTTGAAACTAAAAAACATGACACTAAAAATTAGTAGTAGGTCAAGTGTAACACTTGTTAGTAGAATAACTTGTGGACATTTCACTACTAGGACAAGGAGAAGAATCCCAAAGCAAATTAGTCTTCCAAGCATCAGCAGCCATATTCAAAGGAAGTAATCCAATAGATCTAACATTTCTCCATTGTTCCTCCATGTGATCCATATTGTTCACATGATTAGCTTCCTTTAAGGTTGTCTCTTGATCAAGAACACCACCACCTTCTATATTCTCCGGTAACGGTATCGAATAATCTCCAAATATAGAAGATGACATGTTTAGAAGCAAAGAAGAAGCATCAATATTATTATTGCTCATATTGATGCATTTTGGTAATGGTAGTATTTCAGAAGTTTCAGTACAAGAAGAAAATGTGTAACTTGTGATAGGGTCATAGTTTGAGTTGAGGGTTTTGTAAAGTGGAAGATCTAATGTGGAGAAACTAGCCATATTGGATGAGGAGTTTTGTAAATCATTAATGGTAGAACCACTAAATTGGATAGGTGAATTTGTTTTGTTTATCAATGAAATTTCATTTGAATAATTAGTAAAGTGGCTGCTGGTTAGAAAATCTGATGTAGTGTTTTCAGGTACTGTTGGTGATACCCAAGAATGAGAAAGAGCTCTATGTGCATTGGAGTTTGCTTTCTTGAAAATCCTGCATATTGCCCATGAGTCCTAAAATATCCAAGAAAAATATTACATTAGTAAAGAGTTTAACATCTCAATGCAAAAGAACTTTATACTGTCAAGTCATTATAAATATAACTATAGGTAATTAACTGGTATAATATATTGGATGAATAACTTAGAAATAAATCCAGTTACGTACTACAATAGATTAAAGTAAACTGATAATGGTAACAAAGTTTTCGTTATTAATTAGTATATATAAGTTAAATTCATTAGCAAAGAGTTTAATTTCTATATACGTGTAAAGAACTTTTAACATGATCAAGTTAGCCGGTTTCATACTATAATAAATAAAATATACCGGTAGTGGCAACAAATTTTTTCGTTGTTAGAGAAAGATAAATCCATTAGCAAAGAGTTTAACTTCTTTATATATGGTAATTTTGAAAAATAATTTTTTACGTTATCAGATCACTTACAAGGCAATTAAAAAGTAATTGAACATAATAAATTGGAATAATAACTTAAAAAACTAAAGCCAACTACTGG